TTTCAAAAGTACCGGTTTGGCACCGGTATCGGATAAAACCTAAACGATACCCATCCCTACCTGACAGTCATTACAAATATAAGTCTGTAGATAATTAAGTAATGTAGCACACAGAATAACTGAATCATCACTGTTGACTTTTTTCTTTTTCTTTATAATTATCAAGAGAGGAAAAAACCTCACTCTCCCCACCTTCTTCTCTTCTGGGCAGATGCCAAAGATCTCTTATGTGTGTCCTAGGTCTGTACCTGCTTTCTCCCGCTTGAACATGCTGGAAACACCTCACCTCAGAGCCGTCCACGAGGCATTCTAGTCAGACGCCATCACCACCACCTAAACCGCTGCTTCCGATGTGGAGGAGTAGTAGCTCTATTCTCAAATCTACTCAAGTTCCTCAACCCATCTCTAAGGGAGAGGTCAGACTCTTGGGAGGAAGCTCTTATCTGCTGCTTGATTTCATTCCTTTTTTTTTTAAGAACTATAGCTTGTGGTCATAGGTGCTGTACCACAAAAGATTATCAGCGCTCAGAGTCCTTTTGTGATTCTCACAAAAGGACTCAGTAGGTCTAAGGTTAGGTGACAGTCAGGAGTCCTTATTATTTTCCAGTCTGAAGTACTTCACTCTTTAAAGCACTGAGATTTTTTTAAAGCACTGACATGTGTTATCCTGCTGCTGAATCCTTCTCTACAAAGTTGGAAACCTGAGGTTGGAGCATGTTGATGAAGGGTGAAGTCTGAGTACTACCATGCCCCCACCACAACAAAAGAAAAGCACCAATTTAATGTATTTGACAAAGAGTAACATAATTCAATTCAAATCAGGCAAATAGGAACCATGAAGAGGCCGCTAGGACAGCTGCAACCACCAAGTACCTGCAGAGGGTCAGGCAAGTCCTGAGGAGTCAGTTGAACGGTAAGAACAAGATCCGGGCTATCAACACGTACACCTGCCCATGATCAGGTACCCTGCTGGTATAATAAGTTGGCCAAAGGAGGAGATGGAAGCCACTGACAT